TGCAGCGACTCCAGCAACATCCCAAACAAGCACCTCTCTGCTTCGCCTGGGCCAAAAAACAAGAAGAAAAAGAGGGGTGCCAGTAGGACCTCTCCTTAGAGCTCACAGCCGCTTCAAGCCACCTCAACAGAGCGCCCTGCGGCTTCATAAATGAAGGGTACCCTCGGTCTTGTTTTATTAGCTTGTTGATGAAAGAACGGTTGACCTCACTCACTTGGGGCTGTGCTCCTGGAGTGAAAAAGGCTCATTTAAGCCTGTCTAGGTGGTCATGCACTACAGTGCAGAAGGGACCGCGCCGCCTGGACCTCCGTCGTCTTTGAATGTGGATTTGAGCTCCATCATTGCAGAGCGCCAATGCACTGGCGCCTTCAAATCTCTTTACCCCATGACCGCTGTTGAATGAAAAAGCATCCCATTATGGGTTGTCTCCGCGGTTTGTCGTTGTGCATTTTGATCTGCTTCGCACGGTTTGCAGGATGCAAAAGGACAGGGTCCCACGGCCATATAGCAGCACAGGCAATCGAACGATACCTGGGCACGAAAAGCATATGCCTTGTGGTTGCTCTACGGTATAAGCGCTACGGCTTGCTTCAGCTGTTGCTGCTGCACAAACGAAGCANTGCCTTGTGGTTGCTCTACGGTATAAGCGCTACGGCTTGCTTCAGCTGTTGCTGCTGCACAAACGAAGCAATCCCTACGGCTGCATTCTTCATAGTGGATGCTGACAAAGCCACATCTCTTGCACTCCAGTGGGTCCGCGCCAAGTTTTTCGCTGTTTCCACATCTCTCTCGAGAGCTTCAACGTGAAGCCTGTGAGGCTCTGAGAGTTCCACCACCCATTGTCGTTGCTCATGTGTCGGTGTCTCTGTCAGTCCTGCTCGTGCTGCTCCCACCTGTGCCAGGTTAACGCTCATCCGCAAGTCGCACTCCAGCGACTCTAGTAGCTGTGCGTGCAGCCACAAGACCTCGGCGCTCCCAACGAGACTCTCTGCAGTCGCGGCTGCTCTTCTCGCTGCGGCCATCAAATCCCGTCCGGGCGCTCCCGCTTCGCTGCCTAGTGAAATCGCGGTAGCTGCAATGCCAGCTTGCTGACAAGCCGACTTTGCGTTGTTTTCGGTCTGCCACAGCGATCCCGTCAGCAAGTTCAGCATCCCTTGGTTAAGAAGCTTTTTGCTCGGCGGTCTATCCTGCCCCTGCTCCTCCCCCACCATCGGAGAAAACCAGTCCTGGGGCAACCGAAGCTGTAGCTCCCTACCGATGTCTGACACTTTCCTGGTGGCCTCTGCCGCTTCCTGGCTGGCCCTTGAAGCTATGGCCTTGTAAGCATCTTCCACTTTCTTATTCTGTGTCGCGGCTTCGGGAAAAACATTCATACGAGCGAANTGGCCTTGTAAGCATCTTCCACTTTCTTATTCTGTGTCGCGGCTTCGGGAAAAACATTCATACGAGCGAAGGCCACATCCAGCAGCACTTTTAGCTCCTTTCCCAGATCTTCCGTCTGCACTCTAGCTGCTTCTGCCAGCTCGATATCCCTTTCCTTTTGCAGCTCTTCGATATCGCCATGGTAGTGACTTAGCAGCTGCTCTCCTCTCTTCAACAGAAGCTCGACCGTTTCTAGTTCCTTCTTGTTCACGGTGCCCTCTTTGGTAGGAGATTCGTGCCGCTCTCTCTCTTCTCTGCACATGGCTCGCCTCTCCTCCATAAGATCTCGACATTCTCTGTACCGGTTCATCTGGTTTCGCACGAGCTGAGAAAGGGTCACTGCCACTGCACTGGATGCTACTTCTTGAGCAGATTGCCGACCCACTGTTGCTGCCTCATGTACTGCCTTGACGAAATTCAAGTGTGCTGCAATGGCATCCAGGAGCACTCCATCCTCCACTTTTTCCAACCTTGGCAGGTNACGAAATTCAAGTGTGCTGCAATGGCATCCAGGAGCACTCCATCCTCCACTTTTTCCAACCTTGGCAGGTTCTCCAGAACCGTCGCCGTCTCCTCCAGCTTCCAGGCAAACGCCCTGCAGGAGAGTTTAAGACTATTCATGTGGTTCTCTATAGCCTCTACAACAGGCGAACCCAAATAGGATTCCATGATCTTTAGTTCCTGGACAGAAAACTCACGCGCCGGCTGAATATCCAGTGCCTCACGCGCCAGAGTGAGGCCATGTTGCCTGGATGCTTCATACAAATGAGACAATGCTGAGAAGCCCCTGTGCAGAGCCTTCTCCATCACATTATCAGGCGACTTCCACGGGCTCGAAGAATCTTCCAACAGTTTTTTCACACGTTTAGCCCTCTCTAAACTCTCCCTAAAATCATGCAAAGCGAGGTGAGATTCATGATTCTGTGTAGTCTCGGCTAGCTGGACAGCCACTGCTTGCAGTTGCAGCAGCTCATCCAGTTGATGCAGTAACTTTCCTCTAGAGCCTCTCTGCCTGTTCTCACGCCCTTGCTTTGGCTGCAAATGTACCCGCTGCTTCTTCTGAGGGTGTAATTCTTGTTTTTGAGAACCATCAGATGCCCTGAGGGATTGGAATACGAACAACCCTAAAGAAAACCAGATGACCAATGCGGTGACGCTGACGGCCGTTGAAGAACCGCGCAGTTGCTCTTGGACATTCTGTGAGCGACGCGATATCGAAACTGCGTTTTTTTGGTCAGCTTCAGTTGACAGCCCCTCGTCTATGCTGTGGGCCGCTGTTGAAAGGTTTGTACTCAGGGAGGCGGGCCCCGCAAGAACGGACTCAGTGTCGCTCAAGTGGGCTTCTGTAAGAGCGGAAATCGGATGATTCGACAATAACGGATCGTATAAGAGAGAGTCGCTTGCTGCAGACTCCGTGCTCATGCTCCTCCACGGGCTCCCCGCCATAACACTTTCACAAAAAAGAGCGGTTGTGCCCAGACACCATGCAATGATTGCGGCGGAAACACACACCATTATCAGGGCAGTTTGCAACGTCTAAGCCCTAAAAATGTTTATAGCAACATCACTAAAACTCACGGGGAAATTAAGGCAAAAAAATCGCCTGCGAAGCATCCCCCCACCACATTCTGGGGCGTACGATACAGGCGCTCTATGATCCTCGTGATGTAGCCTGAAAAAACGCCGCAAGTCGGCCGTGACTATTGAAATAAACAAGAATTAATTTTGCAACGCAATATGCATATGAAGTTTAGTCACCACAAGGCATAGAAGGCAAATGCCAGGACTAGCAAAAACTCGAGCCAGGCTCGGGTGCAGCAGCGGATGAGGAGCGGAAGGGCAGCAGCGGATACAAAAACAGGGGAAGAAACAACGAGCTTGTTCACCTGAATAAATTGTTGTCTAGTGTGGATGAGACGAAAATGCGTCCTTACGTCGGCGGCGACACGTGCTCTATAGCACTCCGTGAGCATGACGAGACCCGCAGGAGCCTTGCCGGGGGGCCAGTGCATGCAAGGGGGCTGCGCTGCATCTGCTACACCCCAACACAGCCATCACCAAGACTATCTTTGCAGCTTGACTCCACTCACACATGAGATTATGCATTAGAGAGGTGTGTGTGACCTGCCGGAAAGGCGCGTGGTAAGACTGAGTACAAGTGGGCGATGCACGGCTTGTAACAAGTAGGTGCTTGCGTGCCCGTCAGTGCGTGTATGCTGCAAACAGGAAGACAAGTTATTCTGAGGACGTTGACTACAGTGTTAATGCCCGCACGCAAAGTGCTTNGCTGCAAACAGGAAGACAAGTTATTCTGAGGACGTTGACTACAGTGTTAATGCCCGCACGCAAAGTGCTTCGGTCTGCTTGTGTGGGGGGTCCCGTTCTCGGCAAGAAGAGACCACCTCCCCTCCACACTAGCGCTGGGACCCACTGGCGCTGTGTTCATGGGGGCATACAGTAGGAGACCACCAGTTTTTTGTACCATGTAGCATGATCTGTCTAGGATGTGTACATGGAGTCGCGTGGAGGTTGTCTACCGAGGATGCAGTAGTGCCTTATAATTGTTTACGGTGTTACTGCATGCATACAGAGGGGCTCCATAAAGTTTCCCTGTGGGTTTGCCTTGTACCAAGAGTTGCAACGAGGTGTGCTGCAACTCACAGCAGGCTGAGTCGTCTCCGCACCAGCCGTGCGGCGCGGTACCGCGGGCAGCTCGAGGGAGGCGGGAATTAGCTATTTTCGCGGAGCTGAGAGTGAAGAGTCTCGTTGCAATTGGTGGCACATAATTTGAAACCTGTGCACTTTCCCCACCTATATTTGTAAGATTGGCACGAGTGGAGGATTTCTGCACCATGTCTACATGGAAAGACGCAGTCAACGTGGCTCTTTCAGGCACGCGCTGACTGCGTAAACCGTCATTCCTACTACTCAGCGAACCCTTGAGCTGGTTATACCGTCACTGACGGGATGCAGACTCTGACCCACTTCCATGCCCAGGACGGGAGACTCAATCTACTTTTGACAAACATTGCTATGTGGGCATTCGAAAACAATTGTTTCTCTTAGACGAACACATCTCACGACTGAACAGCGCGATACAGTTGTACGGCAAGCTGCTCACTTGCGGAGTGCGGTTGGCTGCATGCAGCACTCGCCCTATCGCAGCTCTACTGCCTTATCAAGTATACGGGGTAATATGTACCTGAATGCAAGTAACTTTGCCCTGAGTCGTACATCTGCAGGCTTCAGGCATTGGCTGTGTGTTTTGTGTCTGGGCAGTGGTCGGAATGAGACTCCCGCCTCTCCTGCATATGCCTATGTTCGGCAGAGTATACTTGAAGTATTTTATTGTACCGGGATATTTCCCCCCTGCCGCGTCCATTTTTCTTTTCACCTGTGCTTCGAGTATTCACTGCCTCTCTTCAACTCCAAAAGACGCCAGCAACCCCGCAACAGCTATCTGCGGTGATACCACCTTTGCACAGCCAGAAGAAACGGCAAACCGCCAGCTGTTATTGGTTTTGCTTGTCCCGTCCTTCTTGTAGTAAACCCCGGCTGCAAAACCACGAAAACTCTTCAGTAACGCTCTCCTCCTCACTGGGTATACCGACAGTAAACTGCAACGCACCTCAGTAAATATGCAATATGGACCTTCAGCAGGAAAAGCTATAGTTCAGGCTCCAATAACGTCATTAACGTGCACTGACTAAACAGACAGACTAGGAAAAAAGGAGCGCAACAGAATTCAAGCCCAGCGTAGCACCCCGAGAAAACTCGCTGCGAATCGCATCCTGTATTAGTCTCATGCACCGGCACCAAACTCACCAGATACCTTTCATATGCCTGGAAAGGCAATTAGCAGAGATAGCCGCAAAAAGGGAGCTGTTCTGGTTGCCTCCAGCACGACACCCCCCACGCAAAAGACTGAATCCATTACTCCTACTGCTTCCCTTGGTTTCATAAGCATCCACTACCTAGGACTGCCGGATTTTAAATAGCACTGCTGCTGCTGCAGTTGCTGCTATTGCTGCTCAGTGCGCTCAGCATGCAGCTGCAGAGCAACACGCGAAGTCGGGCGTTCTGTATGGCGCTAACCGCTTACAACCAGGTTCTTCCTGCTGTTCCCTGTGCAAACTCCCCTCGTGCTCTGGCAACGGCAGTTAATTTCGCAGATAACACTTCT